GCCCGCCCCTCAGCTCGCGAGTGGCGGCGCCCGCAGCCAGTGGAGCAGGAGGGGGGAAAGGGGGACCCAGTGGAAACCCATGGCGCCTCAATGATGCTGCAATCCTTTTTTCCCGTCCCCAGTTCTTTTCCCATAGGCGACCAAAAGACCACATGCTTGTTGCGGGAAGTGCCTAACTGATAATCTAAACTATTTCCAGAACCAAGTTCTTGACATTATAGACCCGTCGCGTAAACCCACCAGCCCATCCAGAAACAATGCCCCAGCGAATTGAGTTGCCCTGGTCAGGGATGTGGAGGAGCATGCAGTGTAATAAGGCTGGGGAAGCTGTCGAACCCCCGGAGGGAGAGGATGGAGGAGTAGTCGGATGCGGAGGAGGAGAAGGAGGATGAGGGGTCTGAGTAGCGGGGGGAGGGAAGAGGGAGGACGAGGAGTAGGCGGATGAGAGGAGGAGAAGGAGGAGGAGGAGGAGGGCGAGCAGAAAGGCCAGATGCCTCTTGGATACCTCTAGGGGTCTCTTTGGAAATCTCTTAACAGCTTCTTGGAGGCCTCTTGGGCGTCTTGGGAGCCTCTTGGCGGTCCCGGGGGCCTCTTCGAGCGTTTTGGGGGGCCTCGGGGAAGCCTCTCTGGACCTCTTGGGGGTCTCCTGGGAGCATCTATGGACCTTTTGGGCGCCCCCTTGGAGCCTCCTGGACGCCTTGGGGGCACTTCTAGGTGGGCCTGGGGGTCCTCTTGGGGCGCTGGAGACCCCTGGCGGCGCCTCCGGCGGCGCCTCCTGGCGCGCTCCGCGCGCCAGGGAGGGGGGGCCCAGCGCCGCTCCAAGAAATCAGCACGGACCTCTGAAATATGTTGTTTACACGCCGGTCGTTGAAAGTACGTATTTTTGGGCTCCCAGATCCCAATCTACTTCAAGCGCCTTCCTACTTCAAGAATCGACATGCTTTTGCTGTGTTTCGTTATTCTCTAGGAGGACCTGGACCCAATCTACTTTATCCGCCTTCCTACTTCATGCTTCTACCTACTTTTTCCGACCGGCGTGTATCAATTTCAACGGAAAGAGTTATTCTAGAGGTCTTGTGCGAAGTCTTGCGCGGGATGCCTTGTGCGCTCTTGTGTTGGCTCTGTCTTGTGCGAGGCCCTTGGCCACACTGGCGGGCTCGTACTCGCACATCTGCTGGACAAGCACTTCTCTGCACAAGTCGTCCTGTGCACGTCTCGTGCGCGATCACTCTTCGCCCGACCACTCTGTTTCTGTTCAAAATAGTAGGTCGTGATGTGTTCCTCGACTCACAGCAGTTCGCCGTCGGCGCGACACGGCGAGACACGATCGGGGCACTATGTTCACACTCACGGTGCCATCGGGGCGCCATCGGATCATCATCGCAGATCGGTCGGTGCGCTTTCGGGGCACCGTCGACAGCCAGTCGTGACGCTGTCGAAGGCCAATCGGCACTCCAGCAGAAATTATCTCAAACCAATCGGGCCACCATCGGGTAGAGCAAAAGTTCTAGTGGAGGATCAAGCCATGGGCAGCTGCGAGTATCACGAAGCAGGTGAGACGAATGAGGGGGGCCACATAGCGTGTGAAGCGTGCTCGGATGTGGGCGCGGTGTCAAAAGCAACCAATCCCACTGGGGCCTGTGGTGGGGCTCCTTGTGTATGGGGCCACGAAGCGTGTGAGGGGTGTGCCGAAACGAGCGCGGTGGCGCCGTGCGAATCCTCCCACTGGGGCATTCGGTGGAGCTCCCTACTTGGCATTGCTCGGACGTGTGTTTTTTCTTCGGCGGGACCCATCGAGGAGCAGTCTGGATCCTCGAGCGAACAAAAACGCACGAAACCGAACTATGGGCCTCCGAGCTATGGCAGGCTTATGGGGGCACAAAGCGTGCGAGGTGTGTGTGTGTGTGTGCCGAAATCGGTGCGGTGGCGGCCTTCGGTGCAGCTCCCTATGGTGCACATGAAGCGTTTGAGAGCTTTGCCGAGGCGGGTGCGGTGGCGCCATGCGAACCTTCTCATTGGGGCCTTTGGTGGCGTGACTGATGGTGGCGATGGTGCTGCTAGTGATGTGGATGGTACTGATGCCGATGCTGCTAATGATGTTGGCGATAATGTTGATGATGGTGCCGATGATTGAGATGATGCTGATGCTGATGATTATGGCGGTAACGCTGAAGAAGATGAGGATGAGGATGATGCCGATGAGGAGGGAGGAGGGGGAGGCGGAAGGAGTGAGTGAGGGACGAAGGGCGTTGCTGATTCAAACCGAAGACCCAACACCACAGGATGGTAGAAGAAAAAAACACCAGGCGAGAGCATAATGAGATCACATTCAGGACGCGCTGCGGAATAATATGGAATGTCACGGTTGAACACCATTCACCAATCAGGGCATTTGCCGGAAACCGCTGTAATTCGATCGGGGCATTAGGGGACAGTTTCGCGTACCAATCGGGGCAAGATTTGGAAGCCATTAGGAAATGAGCAACATTGTTGCGGCAAAGTCACTCTCTTTTTCTTTACCTCTGTATATATATATGTATATATACAGATGAACCAGACTGCATTGGCGTTTCGCGCCATGCACCTTGGTCCTGGAGGCTTTGCATATGTTGGTCGTTCGCACCAGTCCTAGTGGCCTTGGAAATTTGGCCTCTTCCCTGCGGTGGTTTTCAGAAGTCTTCGAAAGTTTGGGCGGTCCCTGGCCCTTCCCGGGCCTCTGGGGGCTCCCGAAAGGCGCCGGGTGGAGGGCGAAGGACAGGAGGGAGAGAATCTTGGAGAGCGAGGAAAGGAAGTGGATGTGTGGGAGGGCGAGTGGTGGAGCGGCAGAACGAGGAGGAGGAGGAGGGCGCCGTCGGGGGACGACGAAGAGTGTTGCAGCGAGTTGCAGCGGGTTGCAGCGGGTCGTAACGGGGCACGCGAACGCAAGTAATTCTTAAGGAATGCACCCAATCCCGGGTACGCAACAGATTTCCGGTACATGTGGTTGCGAGCCCGGGATTCGGGTCAGTTTTGTGGAAAACGCCGTGTGGGCCTTGTTGGAGCCCTGGTGGGCCGGCCGTCTTGGGGCCGTCTCGAGCCGTCTTGGGGCCATCCTGGGCCGTGCTGGGAAGCTTAGGCCTTGTAGGGACCTCATGGGGGCTACGTATGCCCTCCTGTTGGCCTCCCATGGCCTTTTGGGTGGCCTCCCACGGTTTTCTTGGGCTTTTCTCGGGGGCCTTGTGAAGGCCTGTTGGGCTTCTTTTTGGCTCATTTGGGTTTCATTGGGCAGTCTTGGGACCGTCAAGGCCGTCTAGAGGCTCTCTTGGGGGTCTCTTGGGCCGTCTTGGTGCGATACTGGAGGCCTGCTTGGCTGTTTTGGACGCCGCTAAGGCCCGAACAGCGAATGTGCTGAAAAGGTACGTTTCCCGAAGGGAATGAAGCGATGTTTGCGTTCTGGGAGTCTTATTGAGGGCCTCCTGGGCCGTCTTAGGGGCCTCTGGAGGCACTCTGGGTCCTTCTTGAAGCGTTCTTGTGCTGTCGTGGGTCTGGCTTCGGCCTCTCTGATCACCGCTCTGATCGCTTCGGGGCCTTGTGAGGGCCTGTTGGGCCTCTTTTTGGCTCAGTTGGGGCTTCCCTGGGCAGTCTTGGGGCCGTCCAGGCCGTCTAGAGGCTCTCTTGGGGACTCTTGGACCGTCTTCGGGCGATACCGGAAGCTTTTTTAGCTGTTCTGGACGCTGCTAAGACCCGAACAGCGAATGTGCTGAGAAAGCACGTTTCCCTGAGGGAATGAAGCGATGTTTTGCCTTCTGGGAGCCCTGTTTAGGGCCTCCTTGGCCGTCTTGGGGACCCCTGGAGGCCATTTGGGTCTTTCTTGGAGCGCTCTTGTGCTGTCTTGGGTCTGGCTTCGGCCTCTCTGATCACCGCTCTGATCGCTTCGGGGCCTTGTGAGGGCCTGTTGGGCCTCTTTTTGGCTCAGTTGGGGCTTCCCTGGGCAGTCTTGGGGCCGTCCAGGCCGTCTGGAGGCTCTCTTGGGGACTCTTGGACCGTCTTCGGGCGATACCGGAAGTTTTTTAGCTGTTCTGGATGCTGCTAAGACCCGAACAGCGAATGTGCTGAACATGCACGTTTCCCTAAGGGAATGAAGCGATGTTTTGCCTTCTGGGAGCCCTGTTTCGGGCCTCCTGGGCCGTCTTGGGGACCCCTGGAGGCCATTTGGGTCTTTCTTGGAGCGCTCTTGTGCTGCCTTGGGTCTGGCTTCGGCCTCTCTGATCACCGCTCTGATCGCTTGGGGCCTGCTGGCAGGACCCGGCTAAGCGCCCTGTGAGGTCCGCGACGAGCCGGGGGACTTTTGGCAAGGATGTCCAGGAAGCCCAGAATCCAACGATCCTGGGGGTCCAGTTTCTTTGGTGGGGACGGAGTTTTCCCACCCCCTCGGCTTGTAAAAATATAAAACGAGGAATATAGATCTAGTGAAATGCGAAGCGCAGTTGGGCCACCCTGGGAATGTCAATCGAGGCGCCATCGGGGATCCATCGCGAATCCATGTGGGCCCGAATCATCCAGACACCATCGGGGCACCATCTGAAAATAATGGCACACCGCTAGGGAATTCAACGCCGTGCAAATATCAACGACGCATGCGCGTCTCGTATCCTGTACATCGGAGGTTGGGGGGGGGTGAGATCGCAGTGGAACGGATATCCCCAATCGGGAAATCGTTTCGTTTCGTTCGTGTCGTGCGTGCGGGCGAGGCGAAGCTGCGTGGGCGCGCGAGAGGAATGAACCCGCCCTTTCTAGGGCGAAGTCAAGACAAATGATTCTCCCCGGCCCACCCGCCCGTCCGGCGGTGGCTCGCGGTGTCTCGCGGTGTCCCGTGGTGTGCCGTGGTGTCCCATAGTGTCCGCCGTTGTTAGTGCGAAGTCAAGGCAAATGATTCTCCCCCGCCCGCCCGCCCGTCCGGCGGTGGCTCGCGGTGTCCCGCGGTGTCCCGTAGTGTGCCGTGGTGTCCGCCGTTGCGAGGG